TTGAAACTACAAACACCAGAGTATCCACGAGTGGAGAAATGAAGAGTTAGAACTGTTTAAATATCCTTTGCCTCTTTACCAACATACAAAAAAAGTAAAGCTTGGATTTACCGGGTCACTCGTGTCTGCTGGGCCTCCTGATGTATTCAAATGCTCAATTATGTCCTTCAGATCTTGTGCCATATGCTTCAACTGAGCATCTATGTTTTCAGCCAGTTTATAGCTGCAAAATGCATGGGAACCAAGGTCAGAATATTTAAAGTGAACTTCAGAAGACCTGCTCCAAGTCACACCAACTTTGGGCAATCAGAATCAGCTTCTATGCCTTTCAACCAAGGCTGGCAGGTACGTGGGAACAGCACCATGAGAGGCATTCTATCACACAGATGAAGTAATTCCTAACCTCTCTCTCCCTCTCGCGATAGATACAGGGAGACAGACAAGCAACAGTGTGGAGGGCTTTCTGGAAGGTTTGTCAGAACTGAAGGAACCAGCTAGTCCAGATTCTTCAAGATTCCTATCTCTTGAACCAGACAAACACTTCTTTTAATTATCCTGCTACGATTCAACACTTAAGGCTTGCAAGGATGCTTGAGCCACACACAGTGCATTCTGCTCTCATCACTTCTGTCACTAAATAATCATTACTTTTCAGAGATTATGCCAAAATTAGTAACCTTTCCCCAGACAGCTGATTAGACCAACATCCAAAGAGCTTTTCATGCTGATTCAAGGGCTTCCAGTTGCAATTCCCCTCTTTCTAACGCGTAAAATCTAAGTCGCCATGCATAAAACAGGATTACGTGTTTGACAAAGGCCGTTGATAGATCAATATCGTCATGCATCCCAACTCTACTTCTTGCTGATTGATCATCACCACATTAGTTTGCTCATCACATGTTCAAAGCAGATTTTTGTCTTACGTCCTCTCCCGTTCTTCATCTGCATGCTGCAAGTAGATAGTTCCGCTCTGCTCCTTCACAGACTCCTCCAGAGGGGTCAACAAGTCTTCAAGCTCTTTCTGCTGTGACAGAATGAAGTCCAGCTCCTGATCCAGTCTGAAAAGAGAAAGTGTTAACTACTCCACTTACAAGTTATATGCATTCTAGATCTGCCACAGAACAACGCAAGAAGACGCAAAAAAAGAAACAAAATCATCTCAAGCGTTCATAGTTTCGTACCTCTTCTGATCAAGCTTCACTTTCTCTACTTCTCTGTGTAATGAAGTAATCTGGAAACAGAAGACAATTATTTATACTACGAAAATTCAAAACTCAACTTATGAAAGAAGAGTGGTGGAACTGAGAAAGCCAGCACCATACAAATGTCTACTAGAAACAAGAAGCAGTTACATAAAGATCTACAGACCAAAAATTGAATAATGGAGGTTTGGCTTTGAAAGCTCCACCCTAAGACAACTTGTTATCATAGTGTAAACTCACAGAACAGATTTTCCAAGCTCCAATGCCTACAGACCAGAACAGACAGGCAGTGAGTCTCTCACAAGCATCCAGATGTAATTCACATCTCTCTTTTTTACAACTAGGAAGTCCCACTAGATGGCTTGCTGCCTCTGTAACACTTAAAGCCTTTAAGGATCTAAGCAAGCAAAATCAGGTTACGTTGCATGTCACCTTACCTTCTCTCCATTCTCTATCAGCGTCCGATCCCAGGCATTAACTTGCGTAGCTTGATGGAGAAAGTGTTTCTCTTGGTCTTCCAGTTCCAGACTCCACTTGTTTATCAAACTCTCCAGCTGGGCATACGTCATCACTGGAGGTGCACTGAGAGGAAGTGCGAGACAGTACAGAGCACAAGATCAAAAACCAAAATGTAAACATGACAACACTCACTGCCCCTTCCTCCACCAGATACCAGCATTAATACTGGTACTCTTGCCCCAGTCGGGAAATAGTCGGTTATAACAAATGACTCACCTGGCTGTGGTTGCTGTGGTTATGGCAGCTGTAGAAGTCCCAGCTCCAATGGCACCAGTCGTAGTTAATGGCTTAAGATTCAAAGCAAAGCCAGAAGCAGAAGTAGTGCCTGAAAGAAGAGGTTCAAGTCAAGCAACAGAAGAGGACACATCTGCTATCTAACAAACCGAGAACAGGTCCAATATACGCTTCTAAGCACAGTGCTGTATGAGCTCAAGTAGGTCCCTTTGAAGGAACAAAAAGCAAATCCCACGTCTGCCAAGAAGGGAGTGAAGCACATCTTGACACAAAAGTAGTGGACTGTAAATGCCTGACTCGCAGTTCTAGTAAGAGGAGGAACTGTCAGCCTGCACTTAACCTGGGCATTATTCAAAGAAACGCAGCATTAGCCCACACCCCTCTCAATCTCCTCATGTTTTAATATTAGGCCTAATAACTACCAAGCACACCCAGTTCCTCTCCTGCGTCTTTGCAGCACATGAGATTTCTACGTTTTCACAAAGCCAAGAGCATCTATCAGATGGTACTGCCAGTCAGTCACGTGGCACTTCTAGGCACTGCGCTCAAATTCTTCACAGTCACTCCAGAAACAAGCTTTAGAGAGACCTTGAGAGCTGAGCAGCATCCGTGTTATTACACTGAAAACTGACCAGTAACTGCATCCAGAAAAAGATGTTCAGTCCTGAACCCCAACACTGTGCAGCAGCAAATTCCACTGCAGGTTTTCACATGACGGTTGCCACTTAAACACAGCACTCATCTCTGCTTTTTTGTTTTGTTCTGTTTTTGAAGAAAAGTTAATGAAATCCAACGCTTTGAACCTTACAATTAGGAAGAAACAGATTAACGGGGCAGAACTGAAACATAAAACATCTCTCCCTAACACTCCCGGCAAGTCTTTGGCCTCCCCCTTCCCCCACCGGGACACCTCTCCCTCACCTCTTAGAGCAATCTGCACCTACACAGGCAGGCTAGAGAAGGAGCAGCTCGTCTATTTACTTTACTTGCTCCAGATTAGAACATCAAAGCCTACGGGCCTTCCTTCACCCAAAGTCCCTTTGCTGTGGACAGGCTCTCGGAAGTCATAAGTAACTGTGCCTTTGGGGAGATGGAGAAGGAGGATCAGAGAAAGAAATACTGTGTTATTCTCAGATATGGGAGGGCGTTAGAAATTAGAACTGCTGTGCTGCTACACCAGCGTGGCCCTTTACGCTACTACAGAGCGCTGAAGTCAGGCTTCCTCCTCTGCGGTTACTTTCAGCATCTAGTTCTTACTAGTGGCAGTGCTTGTTGCAGCCGCTGTTGTTCCAGGAACTTTTAATCCAAACCCAAGCGTTCCAAGACTTGCTGTCCCAGTGGAAGGGGCACCAACTGTAAACAGAAGACAACATTAAGAGCTTGCGTAACCCATTAAATACAGCACCCCTCTGAAAAGCTCTACCCTGCCTGCTCACCCATCTCCATCTGGTCTTTATTTGTGTTAACCAGGATCACTGTTTAGGTGAAGGATCATCCAGCCACAACATGAAAAAGGGCAGGCTGAAGCTATAAAATAGCCAGAATGCTCTGCGATTCTTCCAGGAAACTTCATCAACCCAGGGTGCCAAGCTACTGTCACTTCCCTTTACCTCTTTTCAATTATCTAACATTTAACTGCTATCAAATGCTAACATAAGCAAAGGGTACTGGACACTGGCGGGCAGGAAGTGTAATCTCTGCATGCGGCTACTTGCTAAAGCAATACAATTGCACATACTACAGGAAACACGCTGGTCACATCTCAGTTGCCTGGAAACAACCCACCTATCATCATCTAAGAACCAGGCTTCAGGCATCCTGAAAACAGAGAATGCCCATTAGCTTAAAAGCATTCTTAAACACCAAGATTAAGGTCAGCTTTGGAACTACAGTAGCAATGCAAGCATTGTAGAGCTACTAAAAATGCAAGTTGTTAGGCTGGTATATACGGCGTCTACAAATTGCAGCTGATTAGTTAAAAGTAATCAGCGTGGCTTTAACGTAAAACCTGTGAAGGTCCTTGGGAGCAGCTGCCTACATTTTCAGAAGTAGGTGTAAGACAGCACTATGTGTGGAATAGTTGTATTAAGTCTGGTAAACATTGGCATTTACTGTAGCTAGTCTCCATAATCAAAGGCAACCGAAGCATTAATGTCTCATTGCAGGCTGAGGAAGAAAGCTGTTAGGACTGTCTTCAAACCTGGGCTACTGCCTTAAAGCTATCAGAAAAGAGACACTGTTTTCTGCCATAAAAATAACTTTGCAAGAGGAAACTTGCCAGTTACTACCAGAGGAACTTGCAAACATACAGCTGTGTGAATACTTCTTTCTAGCACACTGCATCTCCACTGTCACAGGCCACTGTTCTTGAAGAAGCATGAACACCTAATGCAAGAGTCAAAGGCAGACGTGACCAGACTCAAGGCACTGGGGTCTGGAAGACAGCAGCTAAAACATCACTAGAAAGCTCAGCTGTGGCGATACTACCCAGACAGAGAAACAAAAAATTCACATACAGCTAAAACTGCCACGTGCTGCTTGCCCACTCTGAATCTAAAGCGTGCTTTGCTTTGAACAAAACCCTCCATGCCTCACCACTGAAGAAAGTTTGCCAGAAATCACAAAGAGGGAGGGTGGCAAACAGCGAGAAGAGCTGGCCTTTTGAATGCTCCCGTATTACCTGAGCATCTGCAGCTCCACTACTGGCAGGAGGCACCAACCATGCTGCTCATTTATTCCCCCAACAGATAAAATCCGTACATCGTGACTTACGTGAGAGGCCCGTGGTGGTAGCCGACGTCGGTGCTGAAGAACTCGCTATAGATGCAAACAACGTAGGCCCCGCTGAACCAAGAATGGAGGTTGTGGTGGTAGCGGCAGTTGTAGCAGCTGTGGATGTTACTACAAACAGAAAAAGCGTAGATCTTGTACAGTCATGCTGAGAATGGGATACAAATTTGCCTATCTACACCAGTTTTTTATGGACGTAAGAATTTTAAACTATTTTCCCTCTTATTCTACCTCAACTCTTTCTCTTTTCCAAAATGCCCTTTAAACCTGTGGCTCCCTCCCACTATGCTCCAGCAGGAAGTACGGAACAGAATTTGGTATGCGGGACGCAATAAAAAGTACAGGATACTGAGTTCAATGGCTGCATGAACTGCCACAGATTACTGATGCCATTGCAAATTCACAGCAACAAACACTTCTAGCCCATTTCCAGACTCCAGTTTAG